AAGAATATTGTTAAAATTTTTTAAAAATACTGTAGAATTATTCTTGAATTTTCTTCTAAAATTTTAACAAATGATTACAGATGATTTTTACAGAGGAAGCTTAGTAATATGTATTTCTTTAGTCATTACACAGGATTTTTGAATTTAAAAAAAGAAATTATAAAATCATAGATTTGGAAATAGATTTGAAAGACTAGTGGAAATAAACTGATAGATTGCTTTAAGACATTAAAAAATTTTCAATTTTGTTTAATAACAAATAATTTTTCTAATAATACGAACCATGACACTGAATATACGGATTTCCAGCGTATCCTGGAGGACACAAGCATTCAACAGCATTCGGTCCAGCATTACAATGTGCATCCTTGCCGCACAAAGCAGTTGAGCAATCAGACTTTTGTTGCACACCACAGCCATGGTATGGATTTCCTATAGTTCCAGGATTGCACACGCACTTATTTTCATCTCGCAACGAATATTCACAGTGAGCATTGGAGCCACAAGGAGGATCACAGACAGCTGGATGAATTGCTATCAAATTACAAAAAATACATCAATTAGTATTAATGTATAATTATATACCAGACAAACTTTTAAATTAAAATTAACGTTAATAAGTGATTCTCAATAAATGTAAATTATTTTTACGAAAATACGAAATTAGAAAATGAAAATTTTTTAACTTCTGAGAAAGTTAATTATGATTTCATGTAACTTACGTGGCATACAAAGCAGATCCGGATTTCCAATGAAATATGGATTGCACATGCATTTATTCGTCGTTGGATCGCAAGATGCACCAACACCACAGACTACACCTTCACATCGACGTTTGCACCTTCCACTTACACACACGCTTGGTTCTGCGCAAGGCACTTCCGGAGAACAAATATCTGGTTGACATTGACCACCCGGGAACGGATTACCCATGAAACCTTCGATACATTTGCACGTTGGTCCACTGTAACTCACGATACACTGTGCTCCAGAGCCACAAACGAAACCATCGCACTCTGTATAACAATTTTTACAATTTCTTTATTACTATATTAAGATATTAAGTTTTAATATGAATTATTCTTAAGTTATGGAAATTATTCTTTTTCTTTATATTAAGATAATGTGAAATATTACATTATTTAATATTGATGTAGATTTAGTTGCTAAATGTATATATACTATATGTGATACTAATAGAAAATACAACCGTCTTGAGAGTAAGAGTAAGGTAACATAAAAATATAATACTCACGTGAAACACATTCGTTGTTTTTGCCCTCCACGAATCCAATCACACATCTACACCATGGAGCGTGTTTATCAGGCTCACAGTACGCGTTTGGTCCACAAGGTATATTGTCACAAGGATTTACACATTTTCCATTGACACAAGCGAAGATATTGTCACAATCATCGTTAGAGGAACATTCGTTCTTCGCCACAGCTCCAGTACAACCACCACCATACGGATCTCCCACCGTTCCCTTTGGACACTCGCAAATATGATCACCTTTGGTGTTAATACAGTAAGCACCGTGTCCACAAGGATTATTAGCACACTCATTCACGTCGACACAACCATGTTGAGGGTCTCCTTCGTAGCCAGCCTCGCACATACACCTTGGTGGATCACTTGGTGTACACTTTGCGTTTATACCGCATGGAAACCGGTCACAAGGATCTGGAAATTAAAATGATGTCATGCATATAAATGAAGAATAGTTTTAGAAAAGAATTAAAGAATTTAATTAAATAGATAGATTTGATAATAGAAAATGAAAAATTTAGAGATATCTGTATAGAAAATATACATGGAAAAATATAATATTTGACGTATAATAATGGTAATTAATAACTAAAATATTTCAAGATTAGAAGATTCTTTGTAATATTTAATAAAAATTTTTATTAATAATATAATAGAGATATTAATAGAGATACTTACTTTTGCAAAGGTTTCCATCGATATCCGTATAAAATGGTGGTGGACAAACACATTCACCAGGCTGTACGCATTTTTCGTTAGCTTTACACTCGCTGTCACTAGTACATCTTTTCTGAGCTGGAGAACACAGACCATTATATGGATCTCCACCATAACCGTGCGGACAGACGCATTGATGGGATCCTGGAAGATTTATGCATTCTGCTCCGTAGCCACATACTTGATGTCCAACGATGCACTCGTTTATATCTATAAATCGATATTATTTCGTTTTATTTTTCTTTTTTTTTTTGGCATTCATTGTTAAATTATAATCTGTTATTAAAATAGCGAGAAGAAATAATATACAATTCAGAGTATACATTCATTTCATCGATGCTTTATTCTTTGGATTTGATTATTTTATTGACCATTTTGATAATGTAGACAATTTACATCATGAAAGTATTTTATAGAATTTATTATATTTATGTATTGTAATGTAAATACTTATATTATATAATGAGTATTAAAGATGGTCTCACTGAACATTGATACTTATTGATATAATAGATTGTGATTATTTAAATACTTTCATAATTTCTGCGAGGCCTAATAATTAGAAGAAAATGAAAATTTTGGCACAGACCTTCGCAAGAACCGTCAGCCTTAGTAGTGTATCCCTTGGGACAAGCACAGTAACTGACTCCTCCAGCAATGGTGATACATTCTGCACCACTGGGACATTTTTCTCCCTTGGAACATCCGGCCAGCATACATTTTCCATTAACGATTTTATACGGAGGTTGGCATTGACACTCGATACTGTTGCATTCTACAATTGTAAATAAATTATAAAATCAGAAATATATATGTACAAATGTTCCTAAATGTTACGTTAACGCGACTTTGTTCCTTAAGGACTTAAACATACTCAACTACATTTCATAGCAATAATTCTAATGTCAACAATCTTCCAAATCTTGAAAACAAATATTCCTTACCTTCACAAAGGGAGAAAGGGTTCCCATTAAACCCAGACGGGCATTGGCACTCGTAACTTCCAGGTAAATTCTTGCAAATAGCGTTAACACCGCAAGCAGGTTTGTCTCTGAGTTCCATACATTCATTGATGTCTCTACATTTACCAGTCTCATGATCTCTAGTATATCCCCTCTGACAAATGCAAACGCTGCTACCCACGAATTCATCTTTGATACACTGTTCTCCAGCAGGACACGGAGTACTTGGTCCACACACGTGAGGAGCCTTTGATTCTTGACAACCACCGCTATAAGGATCACCTGTGGTACCACTAGGACACTGACAGGAAAAGGATCCTGGTTCGTTGTTGCAGATCGCTCCTTGAGGACACGGATTAATGGCGCATTCGTCAATGTCTCTGCAACCACCCTTCACTCCTGGCTTTCCTGTATAACCACTGCGACAGAGACAAGTTGCCACGTCGTTTGACAGCATGCAGTGGGCGTTTGGTCCGCAAGATAAGTCTTCGCATGGATCTAATTTTGTGACAATAAATATTTAATTAATTTCAAGTTTGAATTGAAAATGTCGTAATAATTAGATACTCACGTCTGCAGTCATTACCGACGTTGGGTTCAGGGCACAGACAACGTTTCTGTGGATCACAAATCGCGTTTCCAGGACAATCACCATCCACTTCGCAAGTAACTATACCGACACACTTGATATAGGGATCAGGATCTGGAATAGTTCCTTCTGGACAGGTACAAGAATAAGAACCTTCGGTGTTGGTGCATGTAGCGCCGTGACCGCAGGCATCTGATCTACTACATTCGTCTACATCTGTTTTAAATAAGAATTAAATGTAAATATTAATTAAAAAATAGTAAGAAGACATCGGTATTAATATATTACTCAAAATAATTAATTATCCTTAGCTTCCTCCTTGTGTGTGTATATATATATATTTTTTTAATAAATAATCATTTTATAAACAATTTCTATTACATGTAACTTCTATTTGTATACTTTTATTTGTATAGTTGTCTTTAATCCATCTGATTACACAATCATAGAAGTGAAATGCCAATTTTATAAATTTATTCATTAATTGTTTCAAACATTTTTAATGAATCCTTATAATAAAAATATTTTAAAACATACCCATGCATTGTTTAAAAGCGTTCCCAGAAAATCCAGATTTGCATTGGCAACTAAATCCACCCAGAGTATTGGTACAAACTGCATTTTTACCGCAACGTCCCGAAGGACCGTTTATCGTGTCACATTCGTTTATATCTAATTTAAAAGGAATTCCAATATTATTTTCTATCCACAAAAAAACACTAAAATATCAGTAGTTTTTATAAAATACTTACCAACACAGCCAGCTGCAATATCGTTCGGATTGAAGGTCCAGCCATCTTCGCAAATACAGTAAGCTTCGTGGCCATCTGCCTTACAGTACGCATGATCTCCACAAGTTACTTCGTCACATGGTGCTGGAAAATATAAAATCATACTCGCAATTTAAAATCATGATACTACGAATTCTTTTGATTTCGATTGTTCGAAATTTATTTACCTTTGCAGGGTATGTGTGGAGGAGTTCCAACGAAGCCAGATTCGCATTCGCAGTGATAACTTCCCCTGGTGTTACTGCAGATCGATGCGGGTCCACAAGGGTTCGAAAGACACTCGTCAATATCGACGCATTCAGCTCCAGCAGCTTTGAAACCATCCTTGCAGAAACATTGTCCTTCGATGCATTCGGCGTTGTTCACGCAATCGAAGTTCGATTTGCAAAGTGTTGTCACGTCGGTCTAAACATTTTGCAATTTCGTAAGAGATTAACAGAGGGAAGAAAGAAATAATAAAACAATTAAAAATTTAATGAAAAAGGAAAATAATCAAAAATTAATGTGATTACCTGTTCACAAGCAACTGTCGGATTAGGATTGGCACTATATCCCGGTGGACAAACACAATTGTAACCAGGATCCGAGTTCTTACAAATCGCGTATCTTCCACAAGGATTTTCCAACGCTGTACACTCATCGATGTCTGAGAAATAGAAACATAATAATCCAAGTCAAATAAGTAGAAGAAGAAAATTAATTCTGAAGGAAATATAAGAAAAATAGATTAATTCATTGCCTTATAATTTTTTATACTTTAAGAAGCAATTAGTACAATTGATGCATTTATGAGAAATTTGAAAGATAAAGAGATAAATAATTTAGTTAATAAAACAAAATTTCTATTTAAATTCCATTTTTTAATTAATAGATAATTATTACTGATTGTATACTAATATAACATGCATAAGTTAACATGCAAATAAAAACACATAATAAAATAGAATCTAACTAATCATTTACATGCGTTATATATAAATACATCTTTATCTTTTAAATAGTAAATACGCATTTCTGCATATTGGAATATCCCATAAATGCATAAAAATCTATTGATAAAACAATAAGTGGAGGACATTCAACATTTTTCAATGTTGCCATTCCAACCTAATAAAGAAACCAAAAACGAAAAGAAATATGAATTATAATCTCAATTGCTGACCGCTGCATCCCTTAAACGGATCCCCAGTATAGTCTGCCTTGCAACTGCATACGAAGCTGCCGATCGTGTCTGTGCATTCAGCATTTTCACCGCAAGGATTTCTCTCGCATTCGTTCACGTCTGTTAATCAACACGGTTAATTGGATAATGAGCATTTGTTACTGAGCATTTGGAACTGAACTATTAAATATTATATCTAGAGGACAAAAAATGAGACTGATAAAGCGTTGTTTTTTTTTTTTTCTCTTAATTTTGTAATAGGGTGAATTAAAACTGTGTAGTGGAATTAAAAATCGTTTCGTTCTTTTTTTTAATTTTCAATAAAATGAATTAAATAATGACTGACTATTGCCTATTAAAAATTATATCTCAGGCTAAGCAGAAAAAGCGAGTGAAATGTTGCTCTTTTTGTTCTTTTTTTTTTTTTTAGTTTGTAATAAGAGTTAGGTGATGACTGACTTTCGCATAATGTTAGTCCTCGACCACTGAAGCCCTGGGGACAGATGCACTTATACGATCCCGGCACGTTGATGCATCTTGCGTTCTCCGCGCATGCATCCGGCCGGCTGCACTCGTTCACATCGATGCAACCGTGCGTTGGATCCATTTGATAGCCTGCTTGGCATCTGCACTCGAAACTACCCTCTGTGTTCACGCATTCAGCATCCGTTCCGCATGGTGTACTTTCCTCACACTCGTTTATATCTGTTAGTGATGGTTAATCCTTATTTACTACGTGTCTCGATTAATCTGTGATTTATTAATCGTGTTATCCAACAAATCTACGAAATTTTCTCCAATGGATTAATAAATATATAATGTAACTTATATTAATTTAATATTAATTTGCATCATGTATTTACATGAGTTTTGTTCTTCGTCTTTGTAACTTACCATTATTAAATTCTAAAGAGATTCTGTAGAAATTGAATAATGATGAATCGTGTTTAATACGTGAATTAATATTTGCATAATATTTAATATCGACTTTCTTCGTCTAATTAATTCTAATACATTATTGGAAACATCTAACAAGTATTACAGCCTCTGGTTATGAAATTAAATTTAATCAAAATTCCTGGCATTTTACATCTTTCAGATCAGTAATTAAAGCACGTTTCAAATGACATTTGAAATAAATTGTTTTTATCTAATTAACAGTTTATTTATATCGAGTTGTTTAATTTAGCTATATTAGAATTATTCTTGATGACTTGTTCTTATTTACTCATCGTAATAATAATAACAATCTAAACATTTAAAAATCATTTTTATTATAGTTAAACAATTGAAACTTGCTCTAATTCGATAACCAGATATTATACGTAAAAATTCAGATTCAAATAATTAATATTTAATAAATTTCCTTCATTATCTTTACTAGTAAATAGTAAGATTGAATTATTCCACAAAAGTTCACTTGGTCTCGTGTAAGTTGCTAAGAAACTGTTTCGGATAATTAGAAATCGAGTTACTCACCGTGACAGCCTACCCAAGGATCGCCACTCATTCCTTCCGGGCAAGAACAGCGGAAACTGCCATGTACATTTGTGCACTGAGCTGAACGACCACAAGGACTGCGCAGGCACTCGTCGATGTCCACACATTCTTCTTCAGGATCGCCGTTATGACCCTCAGGACACTCGCATTTGTGGGCTCCCGGAAGATTCACGCACAATGCACCCCTTCCGCAAGCACCCGCGTAATTGCATTCGTTGATATCGATACACTGCACGAAATTAATATTCCTTTATACTGTATGCAAACAACTGGTGATTCTATCTTTTTACATTCACCACGTAAATCTACATATGTAGATCCGCTTTAGTTTCTATGATCGTTGGATCTTTTTCATATATGCACGATCAATCAGTAATAAAAATTTATATATATATATCGAATTTCAAACATTTAAGAATTTTGGATAATTATTCACATTTCTTACATTTGAATGAATGTGACAAATAAATCGAAAACATGATTTTACGAAAATCATTTCTATATATATATACACCAATTTTAAATATTTTATATGAAACATATAGTGTGTGTGTATATTATCGTGCATGTAATGTACACTGTGTATTATTTATATGTTACTGTAGATTATTACTTTACAGTAACATATTATTATACATTATTATACAGTGTAGATTATTACTCTACACTGTATAATATATTACTGTATATATTACACATATAATGACATATAATATGTATATATTACTTTGTACAATTATGTATTTTATATATATATATATATATATACACAATAAATACTTACAGTTTCGTACGGGTCTCCCGTGTACCCAGCTTGACAGGCGCAAGTATAGTTTCCCGGTATATTATTGCAGACAGTATTATCAGCACAGGCTCCAGGTATCGCGCACTCGTTCACATCCTCGCAATGCACCTCGCCGTCGCCGATGTAGCCAGATTTGCATTTGCATAGGAAGTGCGACGGTAGATTGCAACACTCGGCGTTCTCGACGCATCTCGCAGCAAATACCGGATTATCACACTCATTGATGTCTGTAGACACGCGTCAAAGCAAAGAATCAAACAAGAGTAGAATGGTAGACTGCGAGAAAGAATGATCCGACACGCATACCTTCGCAATGGAAACCGTCGCCTTGATAGCCAGGAAAACAGGAACATTGGAAGCTACCGAGAGTATTCGTACAATGCGCGAATATATCACAGGGTCGGTACTTGCACTCGTTCTCGTCTGCAAACGTTTACATGAATAATAATTATATATTACATACAATAAATATAGTATAGTCTGTATATAGTATATAGTATATAGTCTGCAAACGTTTGAACAATAGTACATACAATAAATATAGTATAGTCTGTATATAGCATAGTCTGCAAACGTTTACATGAATAATGATTATATATTACATACAATAAATATAGTATAGTCTATATATAGTATATAGTATATAGTCTATAGTATATAGTATATAGTCTGCAAACGTTTGAACAACAGTACATACAATAAATATAGTATAGTTTGCAAACGTTTACATGAATAATGATTATATATTACATACAATAAATATAGTATACATATGTAACATACACAATATAGTATATATTATCATATATGAATTTTATTAATGGTACATAGGTATTATCAATCAAAAATTTTTATTACTTCTTTAATTGCATCTATATTGAATTCATCATTAATTAAAAATTAATATTACAAATTTAATTTCTATGTTTACAATTCCATATGGTTCTTGATATATTTTTCTAACAATTTATCAATTTCATTATTCCAAATGTTTAAGTTTTATTAATTCTAAAATTTAAAAGTTCCTGGAATAAAATTGTTACAGGTCATTTTTTAAAAAACTATACTTACTTGACACAATTGACTTGATTAAATAGTATTATAAAGATACTGCTGTGGTGTATTGATAAATCATTAAAGAAAATAATTTTCGGAGGTCACCTCACCTGGAACCTGACAATTGCAACCACCGAAACCATCGTTGCAATGGCACACGGAATGCAAGCAGACGCCGTTCAGACATCTGGTCCCATCCTCCTTGGTACAATCGTCTGTGGCAAACAAACAAAAAAGGTGTAACATCAATTACCGATTCATCGTGGGTAAATCTGAAAGACACAATTCCTTAGTCATTCGGTGAGAAAAACAGCGCCGTGTAAAAATCGAGTCGATTACGATGAGTAATTCATTTCCCTACGCCTTACGTAACGCGTTCATTACCCATCCGTTCGTGATCGTCGAGGCAAAACGTTCGCGTTTAACACACCTGCATACGCCAGCGGAATAATGATAGTAAAAACGAATGTCGTCGATTAATCGGCGGCGGAAGAGCGGCTCGATGGAGGAGAAACGCGACGACAGGTTCGCGACTCCTCGTAATTGCCGTGACGAGATGACGTTACGCACGAGGCGTGTGTATGCTTGCGGTTTCACGCGAGAATCGCGTAATCGGCGCCGAGAACAACAGAATGATATAAACGAATAGTGGAGATTGTAACGGTAGTGCAATATCGTGTCGTGTAACTGATAGAGCCTCGCTTTTCCTGTCTATGATCTAGTCGGGCGATTACTTTTCCGCGTTGTTTTCCTTGTGTATAGAAGACGTGTCTATTATTCAACTTATTTGCATCACGAAGTAAATTACACGATAATTTATTTTATTACATTATTATACATTATTATATGACTGATCATACAGTGACTCTGTTCATACATCCAGTGAAAAATTGTCATTGTTCGATCCTTTATATCCTGGTAGTACTTGAAAGTTTACCGTTTTATATAAACATTATTATTGCTTCAACGTGACAACAATGCCTCATGGTATTCAAAAAAAAATGTAAAAATCACTGAAAGATAACACGAAAATGTTTATATATTCCTGTTTTATTTATTTTGCTGTTTATTCATCTTAAACTATTTTACCACCTTAAACAGAATACAGTAAAACCTCTCTTATTTTTCGAATATCTTACTAGAAAAGAAAAGAACATGTATGATGCACGGGAACAATGGTACTAAATTCTTAAAATTAAAATTCGAAGTCGCAGATTATTTCACTTAATAATGCAAATGAATTAATACATTACCTGTGCATTTTAATCTATCGCGTTGCTCGTCCGTTCCTTGATAACAATCGACATTATTGTCGCAAAGTTTGGATAATTCGAGGAGTTGTAGGATGTCCGTCGATTCGTTTACTTGACAGCCAAAATAGCCATCTTCGAGGTTCAGGAAGAACACTTCTCTCCTTAATCCATGGCCGAGTCCTTTGAGAGATTCAGCCTAGAAAACATTACAGATGCGATGAATATCTAGAATTCCTTTTTCAATTGTACTTATGTATTGGATTTTCTATTAATTTTGTTGTTGTGTGTCGAAGTTGATGCTTCCTTATTTTTTCTTTTAATTCTTAATTACACTCGTTAACACATTTCACATACTCTGTGAGAATTTCTAATAATGTTTAATCTGCATTTCTAACAGATGATCAAATAAATAATAGAATATAATAATAAGATTTAAACAGACAATTAAATATAAATAAGCATCGTAAAAGTATATGAAAATAGTAAAACTTCATCAACAACTAAGCTTCCGTTTCAAGAATAAATCGTGGGTAAAAATTATGAGCATCACGGGGACTTGCACTATGAAAATTTCAGTTATGTGTGCTTCTCCACTCGAAAGATTCGAATAAACACGGTTTTACTGCAAATACAAAAGCTCTGTTTTACGCTTGAAAAATCTTCATCTACAACATCTCTTTCATGCGCCGTCGATACGTGAAACGTATTAAACGTGTAATCAGTTGTATGTGTAACCATTAGATAAGAAAGTAACTCATTAAAATTCCCCTAACGATGATCTCTAGATTAAAAATACTTTCAATGAAACCTAAATCATTGGTTCTACTTACTGGATACAGGAACAGAAGTATCCACACCACCAACGGCCAAAGATGTTTCATCTTGACTGCAACAGAAACAAGAATTAATCTATTGAGACAATAACTTTCTCGTAACGAAATTTTTATAAAATAACATTTCCAATTGTTAGATGTAGAAATTAATTCGGTGCGTTTGCATTAAATTTTATAGAACAAATCGTCACATTTGTAAAACATGTTCTATATTATTTTCAATTAAAGACTTTACAATACAAATGATATCCAATTAATTTCTACGCCTAATATATCTCGTAAAAAGAATTTTAAATTCTTGAATTACAATAGAATTCGATTGTTTTTACAACGATTCGAGGTCAAATACACTCGTTTTTTTCAGCGATTTTCTGGATTTTCACGTTCGTTCAGTGACATCATGCTCCAACACCAGTTTCGTTTGAAAAATCAGTTTTTAGCGCAACAACGAAAACAAAGAACATTTTTATTGAAATCACTCGTGTATAACGAATAAAGAGAAAACTGCACGGTGAGAAATGTTTTTGACGGTGAACCAACGAAAAGTGCAGGCTCGAGGTGGAACAGGAAGAGACTATCCGATAGGATGATTTTTACAAGGGGACCGAACACGAGAACACCTGTTTCAGCCATGTGTCGGCATTCGCGACCCCCTCTCGAATAAACCCGAACCTAACTGTATCAACTTACTTTAGCCCTGGCCCTGAAAACCCAATTTCCTGGTTACGTGATGTTTTGAAATTCAAGAACTCGGTTTCTGGGTTGAAACCCTGGCTGAAAGCACGGATAGCTTGCAGCAACCTGTTATACATACAAGGAGGTAAAAATAATCGTAGAACAAGATATAAATAAGAAAATGGTTTAAACGAGACAATTTTAAAATAGGAAATTCATTCGTATTCATCCACCAGATCATTCATCATCTAAGTCAAATCGTATTTTAATGTAGAGATTTCTTTCGTTTGCAAAAATTGAAATATTTTATAATAATACATTTCACAAAGATTACAAATTTACATAAAAGTCTGCAAAATGTACTCGTAGGGCATTTCTCCACAACATTTCAGAAACACAGTGCATCCGTTCTCCAGGCATCTATGAAGATCTCACAGCGGTGCAACGCCGCCGGAAGCGCAGTTTTCAGGGGACACCGGTGCACACGCGATTCGCGGAAGACGTCCTTTACGTGCTACGCGGCTTATGGCGAACGCGATGTACCTGGAGCGGACGCGTCGTACGCGAGCTCGGAACTTGGCACGTCGCACAATAAGTCAGTGCTGGCAATCAACCGCGCGGCGAAATGTTAACGACTGTACGTGTGCAGGGGAAGAGGGAGGATTCACCACGGAAGAGAGAGGAACGATCAAGAACGTACGAGAGAGTAGAACGGTGGAACGTCGACAGAAAGATGGCCAGGAAAAACGAGCAGGAGGAGGAAACCTGGCGGTGAGGAAAAAGGAAGATCATTGAAGAAAATGTTCGAATAAGAGAGAGAGAGAGAAAGCGCGCAAAGGGACAAGGATGATGGAACTAAAGAAAAGGAAGTAGAACGAAGGGTTGAATAAGGATGGAAGAAAACTGGCAGAAAGATAGGCTTTTGATAGGCTAGTCTTGCGAGTTTTTCTTCGACAACTTTTCTTCTTGATTTTGATAAAGATTCGCTACGTATGTACTTATGGGCTAGAGAGATTTCGTAAAAATGTCTGAAGGATGCCAGAATCATGGTCATTTTTAGTCTTATCTGGTTTTTGAGTTCGTGCAGTTTTTATGGCTGCATGTTAAAACAATCCATCTTGCAATATGCAAATGTATTCTTCGTTCGTGTCTTCTACACATT